TCCATCAAAAGGCGGCCGCGTCTCGCCCAGCCCCCCACCGGGCCCCACGTCCTGGGAGCTGTCAAGGCCCGTGGCAGCCAGCGGCAGACCTCCGGGCTCTGCTCAGGCCTTTAAGGCAGTGACACGGCCTTCTTTCTGCACAGCCCTGGGACACCTGGTCTCAGCACGGGACCGCCTGGGTCCCGAGATGCTTGCAGATGCCACCATGGCAGGCCAGGCAGAGCTGCGCCCACCCCAGCCCTGCCTCGCCACGGACAGCCCGCCTGGGCCACAGGCACCCTCTGCTCCACCGGGAGGGTCTCCTGCTGGAGTTGGGGGGCTGTGATGCCACACACAGGGCTAGGTGATGAAGCCCCTCGAAAACCCCCGTATTCACTTCTCATTGCTGCTGTTAAAAAATGACCACAAACGTAGTGGCTTAAATCAACACGCGTCCTCAGAGGACAGAGCCTGCGCCGGGGCCGCAGTCCAGGCGGGCAGGGCCGGCTCCTTCTGGAGGGTCCAGGGGAGAAGGTCGCCTGGCCCGTCCCAGCGTTAGAGGCACCGGCGTTCCTTGCCTGGTGACCGCCATCCAGCAATAACGTCACTCTGACCTCTGACCCCATCGTCACATCTTCTCTTGACGGTGACCCTCCCTCTCCCTCTCCCAGGGATCCCTGCGATGGCAATGGGCCCCCAGACAAGCCGGGATAATCAGCCCACCTCGGATCCTTCGCTTAATGATTTCTACCAAGTCCCTTTTGCTAGGTAAGGTGACGTGTTCACAAGTTCTGGTGATTAGGACATGGATACTTTGGGGGAGGGCGAAATTCTGCCCACCACTTTCCCGAGATGAAATTCTAGGTCCTGGGAAGCCCTGGACGGAGGGACAATGTCCTCCTTCCGCCTCGCTCGGGAACCTGCAGGTCACGAGACAAAGAAGGGCCGTCCTCTAGCGGGTCAAATGGCCCTTAAGCCCCCTGCTCCCCACATCCAGCTGAGGCAGGACTCTCCCAAGGCCCCAGGGATGCCTTGCGGACGGTACCCTGACCGAGAGCCCTCGCCGGCTTCAACTCACAGTGAGAAGGACCCACGGAGAGGACACTGCCACGAGCCTGTGGCCCCACAGGCCACGGCCACCCCGACTCAGAGGCAGATGGGCAGACGCCTCAGCCCACCGCACACCAGGCAGCGCAGGCCACACGCGCCCCCCTGCCGCCCCCACCAGCCTGCAGGAGAGTCTCTGGGAGGAAGGAACTCAGCTTCGAGGCTATTTTTAAACCCGTAAAAGTAGAGCTCCTCAAGCTGGAGTCCTCTTGGCACAGAATTCAACAGGCCCAGCCACAGCCCAAAATAAAAATCGAGTGATAATGCTTAAATAACACTCCTTCCCACCGGCCAGGAGGCGAAGCGGGGACCCCTCAAAGCGCCGTGCCCGCCCGCGGGCCGGGGGGGCGGCCGCTCACCTGGAGGCCCTGGCTCTGCTCCCTCCGCCCACAACCCTCCTGTCCGGTCCCTCTCACCGGATTTGCCCCTCCCACCCTGTCCAAGGACCTTTCCAGAAGGCCCGGCCACGCCCTCCTCGAGGTGACCTGACTTCAGGTCCAGAGCCAGGCACACACCTCCACACGCCCACTGCTGCGACTCTCTGCCCCGCCCTCCGCTGGGGAGAAACAGTTCGTTGCAGGAAATGACTCACTTCCATTGTAAACTTTCGATCTTTTCCCTGACATCTGCTCACTGCTCTGCCATTTGCTGCTGCACGCACGCAGGTCGCAGGTCACGGAACGTCGCAGCCACGCTGAGCGAGGGACGGGTCCCCGGGAAGCGAGGGACGGGTCCTCGGGAAGCGAGGGACGGGTCCTCGGGAGCGGCCGTTTTAAGCATTTGCACTCGAACAGGATAGGCTGCTGCCGAGATGCTGGCGAGTGCTGCGTTTGGGGCAGGTTTTAGGGAGCTGACGGGGGGTGGGAACAAGCAGTGTGCTACAATTTGTCCCACCTCGAACAGTAAGAGGGTCCCAGCCGGCGCTTCGCCCGCAATGGGTGACACTGAGGCACCGAGGCCGCCTGTCAGCAGAGACGCCTGCTGCATCTCACCTCTCGAGGGCGGGGCTCTGGGCCCCGGGCCCGGCACAGAACCAGGAGCCGTGTGCACCCAGCCCCTGGCCCCGCGCCCCTCCCTGCTCAGCCAAGCACTCAGGGCCCGGCCCTCTCCCTCAGCAATGGGCTGACTGCCAAGTTCCTGCTCCCGGCTCAGCACTGGGCTGGGGACAGCCAGAGACCCCTGCCCCCACCTGAGACCAGGCCCTGAGTCGCTGAGTGGGTGAGCCCGCCAGGAAGCAGAGGTGGCGCACATGAAAGATGCACTTAGGTACCAAACACCAGAGTGGACGGGAGCAAGGAAGGGTACGGCTGGAGAACCGGAGCTCTGGGAGGTGCTCGGTGGGGCCTGGAAGGGTGTGCCTGGTGCAGGCAACAAGCCTAGCTGTCCCCCTGTCCCCCCCAAGCATCCACGCACCCACTCACTGACCCCTGACCCATCCCTCCATCCACCCACCCACCTACTCGTCCATCCACCCATCCACCCACCCACCCACACCCCCACACGCACACTGAGCAAAGCTGTGGGAATTTGCACACGAGGCAGCGGCTCCCCCCGCCCCCTTTCTGAGGAGTCCAGCTTGGTGCAGGAGACAAAAGGCAAAGACGGGTCCCTTATGGAGCTGGAACGTCAGGATACTCCCCACGTGCCACTAGACAGCCTGTCTCTGCCCGCCCAGCCTCGTCCACGCACGCGAGGGTTTCGGCAGGATGGGACCGCCCCAGGAGGTGGCAGGGGCTGGGGAGAAGGCACGCTGGCCTGGCAGCCGCTCTGCCCACTGCACACGGAGCTCAGGGGAGCCGCCCGGAAGTGGGGCTCTCACGGCCTTTCTCACTCCCAGGGAGCTCGTGAGGTGTTCCCAGGGCCGGGACGCAGAGCAGCCACCAGAGGCCACAGAGCTCACCATGGGTCCTGGCTTAGCACTCCCCATGGGACTCGACTGCACCATCTTCCAAAGCACCCGTCACGTGATAAAGCTGGACCCGAGACAGGGAGCCATGGAGACAGCGCCAACTGGCAGGCGTGCCCAAGCTTCCCCTCTGACTTCACCCCTCACCCCTCGCTCCCGGAGCTCCGGGCCCCCGGGAGCAGCAGAGAGGAGACCTGCCACGGGCGGGACCCCCAAGTGAGAGCCACAGGGGCAGGGCAGGGCGGGCGCGTGGCCGGCTGCTGAGCTGAGGCTGCCCGGTGGGGTCAGCTGGCCTCTGTGCCCCAACATCTGTCCTGGACAACGAGGGGCCGGCACCGAACATGCACGATGAATAATGAAAGAGCAGGTTCTCGCCGGGCACGGAGAGTGATCTAGAAAAGTGAAATTCAACCCAGCCCGGTGGGTCAGACAAGTAATTTTCTTGGGGGCCGATTTCACGTTTTCCCCAGGTGAATTCTATAGGACACGGACATCCAGTCTCATCCGTCGTCCGTCTTTGCCTCTGCTTATCGGATCCGTCTGCTCCCTTCCTGTCCGGGCCACCCGTCCGCCACCCTCGCAAAAGGGCAGAAAGCGTTTAACAGGCTGCAGGGCAGGACTGTCTGACCCAGCCTGGGCACGGGGAGCTCATCCTCTGAGCTGCGTCTTGCCAGACAAACAAGAGGAGCAGAGTCAAAATAAATAAGTAAATAAATAACCGAGACCGCCCCTCACAGAGGGACGTCTGCGGGCTCAGGTCCCCAGGCACGTGACCAACCCCACACCCGACCCCCGTCCCCAGCAGGCCTCGAGGGGCTGCCTCGCCTCCCTGGACACCTCCCGCCGCGGGCGGCTCCCAAGGCCCTTCTGTCCTCAGAAGACTCGGCTGGCGAGCACGGCCTCCCTTACCCGAATCGCCCATACTGGCCCAGAACCGGCCCCGCTCCAGGGCCCTCTAAGTCAGACACCCAGGAGGCCCTTCCCGACACGTGTCTGACACCGGGCGGTGTCGGTGGCTCAGAGGTGATGGCGTCCCTGCTCTCGAGGGCTGACGACCCCAGGGCGTAGCACCCCAGGAGAGCACCCTGCAGCCCGTCCTGGGAGGACTCCACAGGCCCTCGCATCAACGTGGGAAGAAGAAACAGCTCGGCAACCAGAACCCGCCCACAGGTAAGGGAGCCTCGGGCTCAGGCTGGCAGCCAGGGCGCTCCAAGATCCACTTCCAAGCAGAGCCTGCGTGTGCCGCTCACGAGGCTGGAGGAGCCGTGGCCCAGGGCCTGCACCAGCAGGCGAGCAACAGAGGCTCGCTCCCGCTCAGCGCGGGGACAGAGGCAGCAGCGACTGCACCTCAGGCCACCGACCGCGACCAACGCTGTTGATTTATTCATGGGCTCCTTTAACAAAGCTCGGGCCCCGCCTCCAGCCGCCGCCAGGGCACATCTGAATCTCACGTTCTGCATCCTGACATTTCCTCGCAGGAGCATTTGTTCTCCGCAGTATTTAACGACCGGAGACTGTCCCCATGCACTCGGCTGGTCCCTCTTCCCTGTGAAGAGCAGCAGTCTGCTTTCCGACAGAAAGAACGACAGACGATCGAAAGGAACTTCGACGTGAACGCTGAGGCACTCTGTGGACGGGGCGGCCAGGGCCCTCGCAGCCGGCCGCTCGCCGTGGCTGAGTCGGGGACCGGAAGCCTGGGTCCCCGCTCCGGGCCAGCGCGCCTTCCCCACCCATGTCAGACCGGCACACGGACGCAGGCCTAGTGGCGGCCGGAACATCTCCGCAGGTCTCGAGACTGTCTCACGTCGTGTCTTATGCTCCATCCTCCTCCGGATGCCGAGATGGGTGTGGAGGGAGGGACAGGCTTCCCCGTGCACGGTCCAGCTCTGACCAGGCTCTGCCACAATTCCCTCTACACGCTCAGCTTCCACTGCACCCTGGGCATCAGGCCAGACGCTCAGGGCACAGGACCCGCAGCCATGCGGCAGGTCGGGGGGGACCAGTGACGGTGCCGACCACGCGGCAGGCCTGGAGGGACCCGCGGCCACGCGACAGGACACAGGTGACGATGTAATCATCGTGGTCGGGGGCAGGGGTTCTCCAGGCCACATCTGCACGGCAGATGCACTGGGAACACGGAACAGGGAGCACCCCTAAGGACCACCCCTAAGTACCACTTTGGAGCAGCCTCCAGGACACGACGGAAGTGTGAGGAACGTAAGAATGAGCTAACGTTTATCTGAGGTGAGAGACTTAAGAAGAAATGCACATATCTGCTTCTATAAAAGTCAACAGAAGGATAAACTGTGAAAGGTAATCGGTCTCCACGGGGGAAGAGAGGGCACAGGCACACGAGAGAAGCCCATTTCTCTGAACGTACCTGGACTCTGGAAGCACAAACAGGTGCAGATACACTTAATTTTACAAAAATACACTTAATTTTCAAAAGAACTCTCTATAACACGCACGATGGGACAAAATGTCGTCACGTACTTCCTACACGAGGCACCAAGGACACAGCACCACACCTGTCAAACTCTTGGCCTGATTCTCATCAGAGAAACCCAAACCGAGGGACATCCTACAAAATAACTGAGCTGCTCTCGTCCGAACTCCTGCTCCAGGCACGACACCCGAATGTTACGCGTCACTCAGGACTCCCTTTCCCCATGCACGACGTCACCAGCATGAAGAGAGAAGTTAGCACAGGATCTTAGATTAGACGATAACATCACATAGATGTCAGTTTTCTGATTCGGACGACATACCGTGTTTAGACAAGAGAATGTGCTCGCTTTTACGAAATACACAGAAGTTGATAGAGCCCGAGGGATGTCGCGTCTGCAGACGACCTTCAAACTGTACAGAAAATAAAACGCACAGACAGAAGGAAGGATGGTGGGTAGATGGATGGATGCGTGGGACAGAAAGAGACGAATGGGGTAAAATGTTAACCTCTGGGAAGAATCCGGCTGACAAGTACACACGAATTCTGTGTGCATTGTCGCATTGTTATGACTCCTGAAATTGCATCAAACAGAAGCTTGAAAGAGAAAACATCAATCTCTAAACATCTAAGGCAAAAAGAAACACAAATCCGCCTGTCTCGGGTTGATGGCACAGCCACAGAAAGGGGACGCACTCTTCGGCGACTTTGAAGTCGCATAACCGCGCCTCCCTGGGGGGTCCCGCCTGGGCGACAGAGAACGGGAAACACACAGCCGGGTCCCGTCGGCGCTGCCCTCCGAGGCGGCGGGCGGGTCCCTGCGGGGTAAAGCAGACGCATGGCTGCTGGTGTCGCTCGCCGAGCAGCAGCTCCCCCAGCGTGAGAGCGACTCGGCGAAGTCGGGCGGGGTTCAGCGACGTCTTCGTGGACGGAGCAGGGACTCGAGGAGACGTGTGCCCAGCCGTGCTCACGGCGGCACGTTCCCCACCACCGAACGGGGCAGCAGCCCGGCGTCCACGGCAGGACGAACGGACAAAGCCAGGGCGGTCCACGCACGCAGCGGGGCGCTGAGCGGCCTTGGAGGAAGTTCTGTCGTGCATGGCGACGTGGCTGCGCCGTGAGCACCTTGTGCTGAGTGGGATGAGCCAGACACGGAGGGGCGGACGCTGGGCGACCCCACCCACCTGAGGCTCTCAGAGCCGTCGACAGAGCGACGGCCGGGGCGGGGGGTGCGGGGGGGAAACCCGTGGAGATGGAGAGATGGGGGAGGGAGCACCCATGGAGACGGAGAGCCGGCGGGTGCCGGGGGGACACAGCCTCGGTTTTACAAGATGAGTTCTGGAGACGGCGGTGGTGACGGCCACACAACTTTACGAATGTTCTCAAAGCCACTGCACCACACACGTAAAAACGGTCAAGATGGTAAATTCCACGTATGTGTGTATTTTTACCACTATTTAAAAAAAAACCACGGTCCTAGATGCGAATTTGAATTATCTGGACGACTCGTGACGCCCTTGCCCTGCGCCCGGGGCCCGGCCACCACCGCGAGGACCCCGGACTCCACGTCCCGCCACAGGGGGCAGGAGGAACAGAGGCGGGCACAGTGCTGAAGAGGGACGTGCCGCCATCGGATGCTCTGCGTCATCAGAAGAGAACAAGCTGAAGTCTCCACCCTCCGCGCCACGAGCAGCCCAGGAGTGTGACGAGACGCTCCTGGGACGAACGCAAGGTCGGCCGCGGACGCCCCAACGCCGCGCTGGGCCAGGAGCCCCTATCGGCACAGAGCCGGTCGGCCCCAGACGGGTATCCCTGAGGGCCCCGGCCGCCCGCATGCCCATCTCCCTGGTGGACACCTGCGCCCCTCCAGCCCCTGCTTGGTGACCCCTTCTCCAGGAGACCTCCTGCTCCCCCTCCCGGCCGGGGTCGCTTGTCAAATGCTTTCACTGACAGCACTTGGCTCTGCTGCTTCATCAAGCCTCGTGACACTGCCAACATTCAGCTGCCTGATCCACAAAAGCCTGTGTCACAAAGCTCCGTCTGCTGATCTGATGCCTCAGAGCAGAATCCGTCCAACTCTGCTGCTCGGGGCCCTGGTCAGCACTGGCCGAGCATCCCGTGGGACGGCCTAACCCTAACTCTGCAGAGCTCAGCACGAGCCAAGGTCACAGGCGTGGGTCACCAGGACCTAACGAGGCCCTGCCTCCCGGGTCACAACCTCAGTGACAACCTTGGACTCGTGGGGGGACTGAGGCGCTCCACAGGGCCATCCTCAGAACCACTGGCTCGGGCTCCACAGAGGGGACACGTACACACACGCATGCACACGTGTCACTGAGGGCGGTGACGACCAGGAGGAGGGGCTCCGAGGGGGGACGGGGCTGTAGAAATGCAGGGACAACCACGTCACTCACGCCCCAGGCTTCCTGCCATGGCTCTGACGCCGCCTCCGCCTGCAGGCCAGGGGCCCCGCGGGGCTGCAGAACTGGGGTCCCCGTGGGGAGAGCCGAGACCACACGTAGCGTGCGGACGAGAAAGACGCAGGAGGGACAGAGAGGGAGATGACCCAGGTGGGGACACAGAGAGGGTGGGTGCCTCGGGCAAGCGACAGGCCAGGCCAGGCACGACACCCCCCGGAGGCGACCTGCCCGCAGCCCCTCCTCCCGAGCGCTGTGCGGCTGAGACGTGACTGGCTCTGGGCGCAGAGGGGCCAAGCGGCTTCTTTCCCTGTGTTTTCTCCCCAATAATATCACTCACACCCCAGGGTGAGCTGTGAAATGCGCGGTCCTCACGCGGCGGGGCCACGAGCGTGGGCATCGGGGCGGGGCTGCGGGTTTGGGGCGCCACCTAACAGTGGGGCCACTGTATCGACTTGGCCCTCCACGCCTCGGGGTCCTCGCCTGTGAAGCGGAGGGGCGCTGAGAGCCTCGGAGGCGGAGTGAGGTCATGTCGGGAAGGCACCCGGCCGGAGGCTCCCCCGGAACGGCCTCCACCGTCACCAGCACCCCGAACCCCCGGCAGCAGGAAGGTTCGGTTAAGCAGCACAGACAACCCAGCCCGGATACCAGCGCGTGCGGCCGACAGACAGACACCCCGACTGTCCCCCGGCTCGACGCGTAAACGGAGCAGAATGAACACGAAATCCCGGCTCCCTCGAGGAGCGCTGACGAGCCCTGCGTTGACTGTCGGAAAACATCACGAAAAGCATCAGATTTCCCAGGGAGTGTGAGCCCTTCCCTGTGACACCCTCCACTGCCCCGAGAGGGACGACACCACCACGGCACAGACCAGGGCTGGGCTCAGTGGGGCAGCAGAGGGACAGTCGGACGCAGCAGGCAAAAGGCCGTGTGGGGACGCGCACACGGGGCCACATCTGTCCCCACCACGAGGCCGGGGACAGCTGTCCGGCCGGCTTCACCTCTGCAAGATGAGGGTCCCCCGCCCCGC